GCAGAGATCCCCTTGGTCAAAGGTTTGCTGGTTATGTGAAATTCTTCACATCTGGTACACTCTTTCCAAACTTATCTCATTGTTAATATATATTTGTATTTGTATTTTTTGTTTATCTATTTATTTTCTTTATGCGACCTAGAGATCATCTAGGAAGGTTTGTCAAAAAGTCTGAAACTGTTAATTTAGAACATTCTGCTTCAACTTCTTCAACTGAAATATCCAATAAATCTGAAAGCATGGCAGCAATTGTGAATGATGAACAAGAAATTGCGAATAATGAACAAGAAATTAATGCTCATATTGAAAATAATGAGATTGAGAATAATGAAATGAGAGAAGTAGTTGCACCTAGAACTTTAGAGACATTTTTGCACCCTATTCGTGCACCAAATCCTTCATGCATCATGTTTCCACCTAACATGCCAAATTATGATTTCAAACCTGGAATGATTCAACTGCTTCCCATTTTTCATGGCATGGAAAGTGAAAATCCTTATGTGCATGTTAGGGAATTTGAAGAGGCTATTGGCACTTTTTACAATGTTCAACTTGATAGGATTAATTTCATCAGGTTGAAATTTTTTCCTTTTTCCTTAAAAGAAAAGGCTAAAAGTTGGTTGTATTCATTAAGGGCTAGATCCATAGGTTCTTGGGGGGAAATGACTCAAGCATTTTTTAACAAGTATTTTCCTAATCACAAGACGATTGCTCTTAAGAAAAGAATCTCAAATTTCTCTCAAAAGGAAAATGAAACTTTGTATCAAACTTGGGAAAAATTTAAAGAGCTTTTGAATTTGTGCCCACACCATGGTTTTGAAAATTGGCGTCTTGCTAGTTATATCTATGAGGGACTTCTCCCCCGTGATCGCCAATTTGTTGAGTCTATGTGTAATGGAAATTTTATGCAAAAAGACCTCGATGATGCCCTAGAATTTTTGGATGAAATTGCTGAAAAAGCTCATCAATGGACTGTCCCCAGTCTAGTTGAAACCACTGATCGTTCAAGAATTGTCACATCTTCTACTAATAAAGGAATTTACCAATTAAAGGAAGAAGATGATTGGAAATTAAAATTTGAGGTTTTGACTAAAGAGATAGCTGCTTTGAAAACGGAAAAATCAAATTTGCCTCAACCTGTTTTTCAAGCTGATGTTAATCAAGTATGTGATTCTTGTTATGAGATTGGTCATACTGTTAAAAATTGCCCAATTTTTTAGGAAATGAAAGGAGCTTATGAGGAGCGTTGTGCTGCTGTTGGAAACTT